ACACTTAGAGGAAAGGCCATCGTGGTAACCGTCAGTTTGCTGTCTGCTCCCTCCTCCCAGTTAGATTTGGTGGGTCCTCGACATCAAGGCCACCCTGGTCACACAGTTGTCCTCCCAAGTCTGGCACCAGAAGGTCTTCCCTAAGCACAGGCTCGAGCATAGCTCTGCTTACAGAGCTTCATCAGCGTCCGGCAGGGGAACAGTGGCTCTCTAAGTGGGTGGGTGGGGTGCTGAGAGGACACCAGGCCCAACCACAGGGTACCTCCGCTTGCACGCCTCTTGTAACGGGCAGCTCACCACTCGGTAAGGCCACACTGCCTCGCCTCTGGGGTTCTGCCTGCGGGATGGTCTTCCCACACTGGTGAGAACCTGCCTCTTGTCACCACCTTCTGTTGTCTCTGCTCTGCCTTCTAGGACCACATAGAACAGGTCTGCCCCTCGGCCTGGGTCAGCTCTGCCCACATGCCCCAGATGCCACTGACAGTAGATCACCCGTGGCTAATGGCTTATGTGATCCCTGGTCCCCGCCTGCTGGTGTTACGAAGCTACTGAACTCTCCACGTGCTCATCAATATGTTAAGGGCACGGGAAAGAGAAGAGGAAAGCCCTGAACATCTGAATTTAATAATAATCACCATCAGCCTCGCTGTCTGTCCCCTCCTAGTGAGCTGCCATATGCCCAGGCGGCTGGCTGAGCTCACCCAGCCTGAACTCGACAGCCCGCTGTGCGTGGGGCAGACCCCACGCAGCAGGCAGTCGGCAGCCGGGCCACGAGGTTCCCTTCTTGGGGACTGGTTAGTGCCACTTCCCCTGTGTGACCTCACCTGGGGACACCACAGAGAGGACCCTGGTGGGCCAGTGCCCCCTTGCCCAGATGCAAGACAGAGGCTTGGAGGGACGTCGTGACTTGCCAAGGTCAGACGTGCAGTGAGAGTCAGGGCAGTGGGGACATCCCTGGTGTGCTGGGTCCGGGGCACAAGCATCACTGAGAGTCAGTTCTGCCCATGTAAGCACTGTGTCCCTTCCAGGCCTTGGGTGTGATGTGTCAGGTCCCCACGGGTTGAGGACATAGAGCTACAGGCTGAGAGAGCTGTGACTTACTGAGCACTGGGCCCAAAGTGATGGCCACCACCCACCACGGCAGCCACCAGCCCGGCCTGGCAGTCCAGCCTCTGGCCTCTGCTCTCTCGCTGAGACCCGGGAAGCCCTGCGCAGCCCGCAGTGTACCCACGCCCACCCCCGCCTCCTAGCCTTTGCCCTGGCTGTTCCCTCTCCTTGTCACACCCTTCCCCAGCCCCCATAGCTACTTGTATCTCCTCAGCCTCTGGCTCCCCTTGGGAAGCCTTCTCTGACCCCAGCTCCCAGGGCTTCTCTGCAACCCTTGTTGAATCAAGGAACTGGGAGCTGATGTGTCTCCCACAAGGATGTAAACCCAGTGAAGGCAGGAGCTGCCTCTGCCTGGTGCATGGCACATCCCCAGGGTGGCCATGGGACAAATATTTGATCAAGGAATCAACCAATCAGCAGGTGGCCATGAGAACATCATTCTGATCCCCAGATCTCAATGTCCTCATGAGGCAATAAGGCCATTCAGAGAACCAAGGGACAGATGACGAGCCCACGGCACCACGCCTGGCGCACAGTAAGTCTTCATGAAAGGGCCTCCATCCTGGAGCAGACCAGAGTCAGGAGAACCACTCACTGTGTGGCCTGGGGCAAGCCACATCCACGTCTGGCCTCCGCTTGCCCGTCTGTAAAATGACGCAGTTGCAGGCCTTGCCCTGCCCTGGGGGCTGCTGGCAGTCAGTGGACTAGAGCTGTCTCTGCCCTGGTCTCCACCTGGGAGCTCCCCAGTAATAACAACCACCACCAACCTCCAGGGCCTGGGCTTCGTCTGGATGGGCCCACACAGACCTCACAACCCTGCTAGAAGGCGAGTAGTATCATTTCCCTACATGGGGACCAGAGAGGCCAAGGCACTTGTCCAAAGTCACACAGCTAAGCAGTGGTGGTGCCCCAATTCAAACAGCCCTTCCCTCCCACTCAACTGCCCAATCACTACTGTCACTGAGACTTCTGGTGGGGAGGGGGCCTGGCGGTAGGAGCCCACCTTCCCAGGCACGCAGGCCCCAGAGAGGCAGGTGGCAGCAGGAACTCAGGACTAACCCCATGGTGCCATGGAAGCAGACGCAAGCAACTGGCCCACACAGTGGGAGACTTAGCCCACCACCTGCTCCCTGCTCCCTGGCCCAGACAAGGTTGCTACAGGGAATGTCAGCTCGCGGCCTGCATCTCAGAATGCAACTGGGGGACCATTTAGCCCTCAGAGTTAACGGCTCTGAACCAACATTAGGGCCACACACTGGATTCTGGGCAAGGCTGTGTGGGAAGGGGGGCTCCACACAGCAAATAGCAAGAATGAAGTCTCTGTTCACGGAAAGCCTGGTGCGGGCCCTGGGATCAGCTGAACCCTCGTGACATCTTTACTGCCACCCCCTGGAGGAGGTGAGCCATCGCTCCCACTTTGCAGAGGAGGAGACTGAGGCACAAGAGGTTCAGTGACTCGCCCAGGGTCACACAGTTCAAAAGAGGTGAGGCCAAGATTTGAGCCCAGGCAGTTTGGTTCCAAAGTCATGTGGTTAACTTCCACAGGATATGACTTTTTCAAAAGGTGGTGTGGGGGGGGCATGCGAGACAGGGTGTTGAAAACCACTGGGCTAGCCCCTGACCCTCCTGGCCCCCTCCCCCATCGCCCACGTCCCCACCTGCACCTCACCTCGTAGTCCCATCACTCGGCTCACCTCCAGGCTTTTGCTCCCACAGGCTCCTCCTTCTACAATGACCTCTTCCAGTTTTTTGTCTAAACAGACTTCTTTTCCAGGTCTGGGCTCTACTAGCCTGCCAGGCAGACTCAGCTGCCTCCTGTCCTCAGCCCCAAGCTCACCACATCCCCAGGTGCCCCACCAGTCCTCATCTGGGACCTCAGAGATCCCAAGGAGGGTGTGTGGAGACCTTGTACGTGGTGAGGACTGGGGAGATGACAGCAGGCATGTCCTGGGGCCCAAGGAAGGCAGGATAGCCCAGCATCTCCCCCTCACCCCAGGTGGAGGCCTTGGCAGGATGGGGCCATGTCCCAAACCTGCCTGCAGCCTCTGGCCAGCAGGTGGTCACCATGTGGCGTCGACCAGGGCAGCCCAGGGGTACCCCAGACACACTGTCTGTAACAGCTCTCCCTGAAGCCCCTGCATGTGTACAGGCCCCATGTCTCCCCCAGATCACCCGTCAGCCTCCCTGCGTGTGCTGCTCTGGCTGATGGCGCAGCCTCTGGCCCTGTTACCCCTCCATGTCTGTGGATTCCCTCCTCTTCCCTCATGGCTCAGGTCACCTCACCCCCTCCAGGGAGCCTTCTGGGGTCAAGTCACTCTTTCAAGCACATGAGGACTCTCCCTTCTGTGTGTGGTATCCTCCTCATCTGCCAGCATTTGGCACCCTGTGGCTATTGCCAGCTGGGCCTCTAAGGGCCAGTCAGTCTGTCCACCTGTAAAATGGGGAC